AATGAAATGCAACTTCTCAAAAATATGATAACTTAATTCAGTGAATCACAATATTAGTATTAATTTGAGAAAAACAGTAACTGAGCATTTCTGATCAGCCTCATTTAAATTGAGAAAAGAACAGGATCTTAACAACTCTTGAGATTAGTAGAGCACTACCAAGAAAGCCAATACTGAAGAATCCAAAACTGAAAGGTGAGTAAAAGATCACAAACTTAAAAAAAACCCAAAACAACTAAACCCCAAACAAAAATTATATACTTGGAAAATACTTTTTCATTTTGAGATTATATTTTTTCTTTTTTTTTTTTTTTAACTGCAAAGGAAAAGTTTTCAAGAAACTACTAACTTGGCTTTTACTTGGAAGCTCTAACAGAAAATGACCGCGTGCTTTATATAACTTCAGCTACATGTTCTTTAGAGAAAGCTTTAATCTGGAACATTACCAAAAAGCAATTTTGGTGTATATGCACCAAGTGACTTCAACTTTTATAAAATCACATTGATTTTTCACTGGTGCTAGGCGTACAGCAGTATTCAAAAAGCTTACAGTAGCTAACTTCTTAGCATATTCCAGAAATTGTATCAAAACGGTCTTAAAAATGTTAATTCAGAGAAACATTTAAAAACAACTTAATTATCTAACAAATTATTTTCTCAATATCCTGATAATGTTGCTTGTTCCATATGGCTAAAACATCTCTTCAGATTTGAAAAAAGCCTCTGTTACACATATTCAGGCAATCACCTAACTGTTGATAACACAAATATGTGACTGCAAGCATTCGATTCAACAGGAAAATACACAAATAAGAATAGTTACTAGGATTTATATTCTATGTGCATGACACTGTTCCTCCTTTAAATGTTTGGCTTTATATATAAAAAAGTTACAATATCACTGTAGTTACACTGCTTTTCTTCAGCCTGTGTTGTTAGAACAGATTTTTTTTTTCCAATTACCTAGATGCTGCTGTAATTATATACCTAAAATAAAAAATAATCTGTCTTAGAGTTTGAAATTTCACAATTAAAGCATTCATGCATCAAGGGAAGTCACAGCAATTCTGACTGAAAAATATGACGTTATCTTGGAGGCAAGTCCACGCTTGGGGCAGCAGGCAAACCCCCTTCCTTGCCCACCTTGCCTTCCCAGGTGCCTCTGTACAACAGGTATGGGGCTCTGGATGTGAAAGACCAGTCAAAGGATGATGGGCATGATGATCCATCTACACCAGAAGTGTTGCTGAGATCAGAAAGGCCTACCCCTGTATCAAAAACACCTCTGTGAGGAAGAAAAGACAGGTTATAGTTGTAGGCAACTTCCTTCTGAGGAGAACAGAGGGTCCAATACAGCTGGCAGACCCTCCTCTTAGGGAAGTCTGCTGCCTCCCTGGGGCCCAGGTTAAGGACATCACTAGGAAACTGCCTAGGCTGGTATGGCCCTTGGAGTATTACCCATTACTGGTCTTCCATGTGGGCGGCGATGAAGCCACAATGCATAGTCCAAGGGCAATCAAGAGACTTCAGGGCCTTGGGACAGTTGGTAAGGAAATCTGGAGTACAGCTCATTTTTAGCTCTCTCCTTCCAGCTGTGGGCAATGACATTGGAAGAAACAGACAGGCCCAGTCTATTAACACATGGCTCCGTGGCTGGTGTCACCGCCACCGTTTTGGGTTTTTCAATAATGGGATGGCCTACACGGCATCAGGCCTGCTAGCGTCAGATGGGATTCACCTTTCTCAAAGGGGAAGAGGGTCTTTGCTCACGAGCTAGTGGGGCAGGCACACTGACAGAGCTTTCAACTAAACCTGAAGGGGAAGGGGGATAATATCAGGCTTGCCCATGACAAGCTGTGGGATGACACGCCAAGGTTAGAGGGACAGGGAGCTAGCAAGGGCCCTCAGCCTGCTGCTCTGAGACATGCCTGCTATGCTGCAGCACACTTGAAGTCTTATGGAGATGAGCCAGGGGCTGCTGAGGTAATGGGAGACAACAGGGAAACAATAGGAAAACACCAGCAAAACACGTCAAAGAAATTAAGGGGTGTTCCTCTAAGAAGGTGGCATGGCTGACAGCCCAACTGAAGTGCCTCTACACCAACGCACGCAGCATGGGCAACAAACAGGAGGAGCTGGAAGCCACCATGCTGCTAGAAAGCTACGACCTAGTTGCTGTTACTGAAACTTGGTGGGACAAATCCCAGGACTGGAGTGTGGCTACCAATGCCTACAGGCTGTTCAGAAGGGACAAGCAAGGAAGGAGGGGTTGCCCTCTACATCAAGAAATGGGTAGTATGAAGAGCTGTCTCTGAAGAATAGCCACGAGCAGGTTGAAAGCTTATGGGTAAGAATTAGAGACCGAGGCAACAAAGGGAATCTTGTGGTTGCTGTCTACTACAGAGCTATGGATGTCACCTACCTGGACTTCTGTAAGGCCTCTGACATGGTCCCCCACAACATCCTTCTCTCTAAATGGGAGAGATATGGATTTGATGGAGGGACTGCTCAGTTAAGGAGGTATTGTTTGGATGGTTGCATCCAGACAGTAGAGGTCAACAGCTCGATGTCCAGATGGAGATCAGTGACAAGTGATGTCCCTCAGGGGTCCATATTGGAACCAGTACTGTAATATCTTCATCAGTGACACAGACAGGGGGATTGAGTGCACCCTCAGCAAGTTTGCAGACAACACCAAGCTGAGTGGTGCAGTTGACACACCTGAGTGATGGGATGCCATCCAGAGTGACCTGGACAACCTTGAGAAGTGGGCCCATGTGAACCGCATGAGGTTCCACAAGGCCAAGTGCAAGGTCCTGCACCTGGGTCAGGGCAACCCCCAGTATCAGTACAGGCTGGGGGATGAAGGGACTAAGAACAGCCCTGTGGAGAAGGACTTGGAGGTACTGGTGGATGAAAAGCTGGACATGAGCCGGCAATGTATGCTCGCAGCCCAGAAAGCCAACCATATCATGTGCTGTGTCAAAAACAGCGTGGCCAGCAGGTCGAGGGAGGTGATTCTGCCCTTCTACTCTGCTCTGGTGAGACCCCACCTGGAGCACTGCATCCAGCTCTAGAGTTCTTAGCACAGGAAAGATGTCACCCTGTTGGAGTGGGTCCAGAGGAGGGCCACAAAAAATGATCAGAGGGATGAAACACCTCTCCTATGAAGAAAGGCTGAGAGAGTTGGGGTTGTTCATCCTGGGGAAGAAAAGGCCCTGGGGAGACCTTATTGCAGCCTTTCAATACTTAAAGGGGGCTTATAAGAAAGATGGGGACTAACTTTTTAGTAGGGCCTGTTGCAATAGGGCAAGGGGTAATGGTTTTAAACTAAAAGAGGGTAGGCTTAGACTAGAGATAATGAAGAAATTTTTTACAATGAGGGTGGTGAAACACTGGAACAGGTTGCCCAGAGAGATGGTAGATGCCCCATCCCTGGAAACATTCAAGGTCAGGCTGGACGGGGCTCTGAGGAACCTGAGCTACCTGAAGATGTCCCTGCTCACTGCAGGGTGGTTGGACTAGATGACCTTTAAAGGTCCCTTCCAACCCAAACTATTCTACAAAGAAGCCATGTTTTGTGCTACTCTGTACAGTCAAGAGGAGAGGTGATATATAAACAAAGATGGTTAGGACACAAACACTTTAACCACACAGTCTGAAAATAGCAGCAGAGTTGCAATTTAAACTCTCAGTTCTCTTGTTTATGTTTGTAAAATACCTGCAGTTATTACAACAGCTTTTCCACAGTGAGATTTAGCTGTTCTTTTCCAATTTGAATTTACCTAGCTTTTCTAGTTTGAGTAGGCCTAGAAGACTTACATGAACAGCTTAACCCATCAAAGAGCACACAGTAAAACACACATTTACTGTTACACCATCCAAACACAGCAGCAGTGCTCAAAGCAAACCATACTGAAATGTGGAGAACAGGTTTTTTTGTAACAGCAATTGAAGAGGCAACTACAGCCAGGTGAAGTTCTTGGAGCACAGGGAATGTGTGGTTGGCAGTACTGGTCCTACAGAGGGAGGCAGAATAGGCAGCAAAGGGAAAGTGGAATCTAGTCACTAGCATCTGGTCTTCATTTTAGTGGTTCTAGCATTTGGGTAAGCACAGTTGTATAAATAAAACTTCACTCCAAATGAAAGCGGGCTAGTAAGAACACTGCTAAGAAGTATACTTTATCTACTCTTATAATTTATTAATGGCAATGAAATTCAGAACTGTTTGAAAGGCCTCTCCTGCATAGAATTACAAGTGGTTAAATGACCTATGCTAGCATCTCCACTAAAAATTTCAACTGAAATGAGTTTAAAGCCATTTTCCTTGACACTTCCCATCTAATGGTGACAACCCTACTATGAAACCTGTCTAGCAACATCAAGATGGAAGCGAGATTGGCGATTTATAAGGTTAATATACCAGAATATTTAAAAGCTAGCTTCTTTCTTTTACACTGTCTCTCATGCATTTTAAGGAGACCACTCTTCATACAGAATTTCCATCTTACCTGCAAGTATAGTTTGTTATCTTTCGTAATTGCATCCATGAGGTCTTTTTGTAGGGGAGGGTCTCCATTTACCCAGAGTCCATTTGCCGAATTGGTGTTGAAGCCACAGGTGCTATTTTGTTTTTTGTAAAACAGAACATAAGCAGTGTCCTTTGGAAATCTACTGGTAATTTTCTGGACTGACTGAAATGAGGTAAATGTCACTCTGCTGTCATTGAACAGAAACCACTCTCTTGGCATCTCAGTGTCCAGCTCATTTTCTACAACAGTACAAGGACTCTCCTCTGTCAACAACTTATCCTGAGGAAAAACTAAAGGAAGAGCTGTAGACTGGTGGCAGAGTCCTGAAGGCCCTGACCCAGTAACATTTCTAGCATATGAATAATAATGTCCACTTTCAGAGGATACACCAGAATGCACCACCACAGAGCTTAACATGTAGGGCACCAATTGTGGGCAGGTCACTTCATCAGCACCTGAGGGCTTCAGTTTTTTAGCAAGATTTTCTCCAATATCAGAAATCTCAACACCAACAGACCAACCTCCGGAAACTACAGCTAGAGGAGATGTTGCTCTTTTGACTGGCAGTTCCAAAACAAGTGGCAGAGACACATTGTCCAAGATTTTGCGCCTTACATGACACTTTGGATCATACGAAAATCTCAGAAGAGTGAGAATGAGGTATTCAGGTTCCTCAATGATTTGCATAGTTTTCTCAGCATTCTGTAGAGAGGCACACTTTTCACAATAATACTTATTGTCTCCACTGAGGATCTCAGGTGCCAAAAAATAATTCAGTAAGTCTGTAACTGACAGGGTGTTTTTACCTACTAGCCTCTGAGACATATCCCTATTATCCTGAACTTTGTTGAGTTCAGAATTTGTGGTATTCTCAGAGTTTGGCTCAGTAGAAAAATCTTTTGTGGTTCCTTCATTCATTATTGTGTCACATCCGCCATTTACTTCCAAATTATTGAGAGGTGTTTCTTCAGCAGGACTAGTTGCTAAAGTATTAGTTTGCACCACGTAGTCATCTTTTACTTCAGAACGTTCCATACATTTTGGGCCAACATTCTCCAAGGAAGCTGGAGGACAGAAAGCCAGAGAGAGATCTGTGAAAGCTTCTTCCTTTTGAGACATACTTTTGCAGTTCAAACAGCATATAGTAGTCTTCAACTTTCCTCCAAACATCTTCTCTATCAGAGTTCTTTCTTCACTTCCCCTGCAAGGTGCTTCAGCAAATACTTGTGCTTTATGGACAGCTTCTTGTGTCTGGGACTCTTCATTCATTATACTTTCAGAAGTCTTTGCTGAAGACAATGCTTTTAAGGTCCTCTCTTCTTCATGAAGCCTGAAGACAAAGAAAAATAAATCCAAGTAGCTGTGCTATTTTCCAAACAAATATTGCTGCACTGTTTCAGACTTTTTTCAAGTTATGCTAAAAAATATAGATGGTTACGTGGCTAGAAGTATCTTACATTAAAAAAAGCTATTTGTTATTTTTTATATAAGCAAGCTGAACCATACAGGTCAGTACTATCCAAAACAGAGTATGAGAGAAGCACAAATGCATTTAATGTGGGTTTCATTATATGTAACAGAACACAATGGATATACTGAGAGAACTGGCAAGTATTAAAAAACCTAACAAACAACGTTTTTATTATTTACCATTACATTATCTTAATAAATCAGTTCTCCAGTTGACTGGTTCTGGATGCCAGATTTTCTAAGAGAACAAGTAGCTATTTATCTAGTGCCAGACTATTTCCAAAGAAAAGGTCAGGATTTTGTAGCCAAGAAAGTTAAGAAACTACAGCAAGAATAACTGAACCAAAAAAAGAAACGCAAGGGAGGGAGGAGCGAACACTATTTCACTACTGAGATAAACTTCTCTAGAAGTGGAATGTGTCATAAAGCAATATTGCTTAAGCCACATCTCAGCAAGCCAAAATTAAAGAGGGCTACCAATAAACGTAGGTACTTTTATCTGTGCCACAGTTAAATGCATGTACATCTCTTCATGACTTATAACCAGTTTAATAAACAAGCAAATTACCTGACCTGTATGAAACATAGCTGTCTCCACCAACATGAAATTCCAGATGCACGACTAAACCGCTTTCAGCAACTACATTAATTTTACAGGGGGACCATGACTCTAACAAAACACCCAAATTTAGATTGGTAAAAATGGAACATTACTACCACTATAACCTGCTTTAAATGACGTGGATACAAGATGGCACCCAGACTTCACCACAGATTAAACCCATGAAGAAAAGTGTTTCATAGAGCATACAGAAAGCCAGATACAGCCAGGAATGAGGCCCAGAATTCCTGGTCCCCACTCATGCAGTGGAACTGTTACATGACTGCTCCTAAGAGTTCAACATTATGTGGTAAGACTATAGATTCATTCCCATTAATGGCACAATAACTGTACCTGTCTAGCAGGAATCTGAGATATTCTGAGCAATCCTGCTGGGATCGAGGGGTGAACCATGGTGGTCTGGAAGCCTCAAAGAAAATTCTAGGAGCATATGCCTCCCTCTGTTCATGTAAGAGAGGGACAGACAAGGTTACATAAGAACTACTTAAAAAACAATTATTTTGATATTGATCACTGAACCTTTGACTACATTATTCTAGAGGAACTGTGTGAAACACATGGTACACATAAACATTGAAACCACTTAATCATAGGAAGAGAGAGCCACTAATTTTGTAGTAATCACCTCTAGTACAAAAGATAATAGTGGATCCTGCAGGCAAATATTAAATGTGTAATGAGTATAAACCAGATGTTATGTGTAATAGCAGTTGCTGTTCTTGCTGGCAAGCTTAAAAAATGTTTTCTTTCTTCAGAACACCAGTATTTCATAAGTACCAATTTATTTTTAAGGTGATCCAGCGTCATCCCCTTTACAAGTCTATTGTTATTAATCAAAGAGAATAAAAGTGTCTTACGTCTTTCTAGCACTAGCAAAATATTTTCGACTAATAAAGTTCACTTTAGAATTTGAATGACAATAAAATGTAGTGTAAAAATCACTGCAGAAAGTCAAGTTTGTCCTAGAAAGATACATAAAGTCAGCTTGTATATCAAGTCAGGTCTTACTGGATTTTTTCATTCTGGCTTCTGAAAGAAAACCTGTTACTGCCCATTTATAAAAACAACACAATGCCAAGATGTTCCACTTAAGAAATATAGATTTCTCTAAGTCCATCCACACCATCTGAACATTTGGAGGCAAACTCATTTCCCTTCAAATCTATCATATTCTTAATATACTCAAGAGGATGGCATCATGTTTGATCCCAAATTTTGGTATATAGATCTAGGCTTAAAGAACAGCAGATGAAATAAATGACATACCTGGGTATGGGCCAAAAATGCAAAAAGATGCTGTAATTTTCTCATTAGTGAATTACACCCATTTAGATTCAGAGATAAAACATGTCTTCTGAAACTGAAAAAAGAGAGATAAACATTAGTTTCCTTGCTAGATTTCTAACAACAATGCAGTTATCATTCCAACTCTGATAATTACTTCAATTTGAAAGAAAACAAAACATGTAACACTTCCATTCAATACCTGGATTCTGCTCTAGTGCAGATGCAAAACTACTGTACAGTAGGAACTAACACTGCAAAAAAAAAATATTTCTTTAAACATTTAAATGTGTAAGAATGCGCTATAGACAGACAAATTCTTTTCCAATAGCTTCCAGATTATAACAAAAGCATCACCATAAACTTTTACAGTACTGAAGGAAGCAAGGAGAGTGAGGGAAAAAGGGACTTGTCTTTTGATACTGGACAGAAGGATCAGGTTTTTTAATGGCTAAAATTGCAGTTTCACAGAGCTGGACATTAATAAAGCAATCAGTAACTGAGTGCAGAGAAACCCACTCAGCTCTAGCAAGCTGAGACACCCCAGGACATGTTCATATTCTGTGAAAAGCAATAATGCAACAACTGCAATAGTTAATTTGCAATTAAGAGAGCTGTTGAAAAGAACTTACTCTGTAGCCATAAAAAGTGCCTGAATAACACTGTTCATGTAGCAAGTATTTCCTAGATTAATTAGACCCGTCTTCCCAGTTTCAGATTTTCCAGAAAGTCTAGATAAACAAGATGGCAATGAACTGGATTGAGAAGTCCAGGCACTCTGACTGAGAATCAGCTTAATCTTCTCTTCAGTGGGTTTGGGCATATCCTACAAGAGAAACATTTAACACACTTAATAGGTCTTTGTATTCGTTTTTATAATAGGTCCTGCCATTCAGCAGTCTTATATCTTCACTTCCTCCTGTACTCTCCTTCAAGGTGTTGCTATCCCTGACAGCCTAGAAGATACAACCCCCCCAAGCCCTCTTCTTCAAAGCTTTCTTTACTCAACACTCAAATTGCAGGAATCAGGGGCTGGTGGCCAACTTTGACCTGCATATTGACAGAATCCTTTCTGCCACAAAAAACTACCTCTCAAATTTCAAGCTTTAATAGACCCCTAAAGCATCCTCTATTCTGCCAGAAATACATTCCTAAATCAAAATGTAAGAATGAAAGAATAAAGTCCAGAATACTTGGAATTAAATCGACAGGGGTTTTAAGTGTCAAAATATTTAACTACAATACGGCTGCTATAAAATCAGGCAGTAATACCCAAGTGGGTTTTTTGTGAGGTTTTTTTGGTTTTATATATTTTTTTTTAATTTTACTTGTTTTGGGGTGGGTTTTTTCTTTTTGGGGGCGGGGGGGATTTTTTTGGGTGGGTTTTTTTTGTTAAATTTATTTTAAGTGCATTATGTACTTAAATATTTATCTAAAAAAGCCAAATTTTGCTTTGAAACAGCATAGGCTAGCATCCTTTACCCACAGAAGCATGCAATACTGACTGCAGTCTTAAGAGGCAGCGCTTAGTAACAGTGGTTTGGAGCTAGCCAAAGATTAATACCATACCAAGTACTCCTCACAACCTACCTCTCTTCAATACTATCAGTGCTCTGAACTTATATTCGAAGGGTTACAGTTTCTAGCTTGGGTTGAAGTGAAATGCCTAGAATAAACCTTACAAAAGTATATTAATAGTTAAATGAGGCTTAAGAAATTAGATTGTACTTTTAATAAAGGATCTCATTTCAGGCTTTTCTTAAAGCCTGCTATAATCATACCATAGACCCTCAGGACAATTTTTCTAGCATATTCCAAACACAGCTAGAATTGACATTAGATTATGTGGTTAGCTCCCTCCTCCTAGCAGAAGTTCTGAATAATTTAGATCTATGGGACTATAGCCTTCATATTTAGGAAAAAAACCCAAACCATTCCACCCTCTTAATATACCTTAACAGCTTCCAGAATGGGTTCATAGAGCTCTGGAAATCCTGAATAATGATACATCATACAGTGTATCAACTCAGTCAACTGCATCAAAAAGGCAGTACTGGAAGGTAAGCCATCTCTTTTGAAGGAGTGAACCAAACCGACCACATGTGGGACAATCTGAATGGGAAAACAAACAAACAAAAAAAGGGTGTTAATTGCATTTTCCCAGTTTTTTTCATCTACAAACAACTTTACCATTTTACACATGCCAAATGACAGGGGACATTTTGTTTTTAAATAAGAAGTGGTTGAGAAACAATGACTTAAGAAATCTGCATTATTCTTTACTCATGACAATTTTCAAACAGCACAATTAATTATTCAATGCTCTCTTTAGCTCACATGTCAAGTTTTGGAACTTTAAGAACATAGAAAATGCATGTTAAGATTTTAAACAGTCAAGCGTCCAAAGTACTCAACTTATTAAGGCTATTAACAGCAAACATTTTGCTTTTGTGCCACCACTAACAATGCAGCATCCTGTTCTAATTTCACAGATATAGTTTTTAAAACAAACCTCTCAGTTTCCCTTAAACAGAATCTAATGCTTGGGATCTGAAGCCAATGAATACATTCATGCTATTTCAGTTTACAAGATGGAAACTGGCTCACAGCTCCATCTAGTGAGGGAGCTAGGCTCAGTAAACCAAGACAGTAATTTACTATGAGCAAAAGAAAGCTTACCACAGATATGGTAATCTATTTGAGAATTAGTTCAGATTCATTACTATTTTAAATTGTGTATAAATCAGAAACGTTTACTCCACCTCCTTCAGCGCAGCTCTGTCTCTATTTTTTAAATGCATGAGACTTTTTTTATATTAGTCTTAAAACATCAACTAGAAAGTTATTTCAATGCAGTCCCAAAGAGTAGGGACTTCTCACAGTGAACCAAAGTATTTTAGACACCTCTGTCACCTTCCAAGAGATCAAAATGGATTAACTGTGAAAGAAGTGGATGGAATAATTTCTCATCACAAGTTAGCTTACAAATTGTTTGGTAGTAAAGACATGAAATACAGAACAGAAATTATAAGAATACCCTTATTTTAGGAAAGTAAACAAGAACTACTATACTTCAAAACACCGAAGTAAAAGGGGCCAGGTGCAAAATACTCATTTGCCACTTTTTCAAATATCAGTTGCTCTCTAAGTATAAGGAATATTTTTACGTCTTGGAGAAACCTACTCTTTTGGCAAGCAAGATATTCACTGTTTAAAAATGAAAACACCAAGATTAAGTGTTCAGTGTACTACAAAGTCAACAGTTGAAAGTTGCAATGAAAAATTTCCCTCTTTCATTTTGGCACATAGCAATGAGAAAGTAACTATTGAGCTCCAAGAATGAGATCTGTATAAAATAGATCTGAGATATGATAATTTTGCACAGACAAAGCACACAGGAAGAATAAAAGAAGTACAGCTTCTCAGCTCTCACAAATTAAGAGCCAAATTCTTACAGCATACTGCATAATACTGAAAGTTACACTGAATACATACAGAAGTATCACTTCTGGCTTAAGGTCGAATTAAAATGTTATACGTGAGTAGATTTTAGAATTCCATAGTACACATCATTATAAGTTCTACATAAAGTGCAAGACAGAGTGTTTTTCTTCTATAAAAATCCCAAGTCATATATGCTAATGATGCTCAAACATAGGGAAGGGGAATGTTAACTCAGATGCACTGCACAATAAATTCATTTATATTAATCAAATACGCCTTTAACCGTTTTACATTCAGACCATTTATGATAAAAAAGTCAACAAGTAGTTTAAGTGCAGGAAAATGTTACAGGATATTAAATGACAGCAGTAGCTCAAAAAATGATAGCGAAGAAGGTTGTTTAAAATGGAGGGAAAATGGTCATGATGAAGTCCTGAACACAGATGTTTATGCAGTACTGCATGCAGCCTATGGTAGAAGTTTTCCTTGTAAAGCAAACATCTATTTCTAGAATAAGTCTTCTCATATTTTACATTTTTCTCATGAATGTTTTGTCTCTCTCAGGAACCAAGAAGAAAAGCAAGACAGTAAATACATGAAATATTTACATTTTGAGCATATTCAAGGCTACTCGGTTCTTTCATTTGTGACTCAAGTTTCTATCCAAGGACAAGATTAGGGCAGCAGAGGGAGGAGAGCAAAACTTCAGACTTCTATCATTAAAAAACAGTGTAACAGGCATAAGGCAATTACTCTGACACTAATCAAATGGTCTGATATCCCTTCAGGCCTAAGAGCCTTGGGGACAGCTTAGAGAAACAGTGTGCCAGGCTGTTACTATGGCTAAGTCTGAAAGGCCCATATTTCACTTAAAGTTTAAGCTAAACACTGAGTATGAGAACAAGGAAGGCGCTATACATCTTGCTGCACTAATACGAACAGCCATCATCATGCCCTAGTATCTACCGCTTTAACTGGTGAACTGTATTTTGAAGAGTGGCCATTAAAAATAGTAGCCTTCAGTCTTCCCATAAGTACACTGAAACACAGATAGTGTAGCTTTCTTAAAGTGAAGTACTTCTTGGTCTTGTGCACCTATCCAGGATAACCTATTATCTGCTATATATAACCTAGTTATCTGTTTTCCCCAAATAGTTGTGCTTGAAAGTCTACTTGCAGCCCAACTTTATCAGCAGACTTCACACCACATAAAATGGATTTCCAGAAGTATTACCGTCAAAGATAGAATGCAGTGCTCAGATACTACTGCCAGAAATATGTACCTACCAGGAAGAACAATGCTTGCTTCCAGTTACAGATTAAGTGGTTGACCCTGGAAGTTATAAAGCCTAGTGGTCTGTGAACCACAGAAATCTGATTCTGGAACCTTGAAACAAAGAGGAAATCCAAGCGCATCACTTCTGTTAGTCTTTACACCCACTTTAGAAATCACGTATGAATGACATTTCAAAGCAGTGAAAACCATTTATTTAGTAACTTACCAAATGAAAAGCTTCTGGAGAATGCTGAAAACTAAGTAACATGTGGGAAAGGACAGCAAGGGCACCAGGCCTCACTAGAGGAAACCAAAGTCGATTAAAGACCTAAAAAAACCCACATTTATTTCAGTAAAAATGCAAACAGATCTCCAAATCCACAACCATTGGAAACAGACAGAATCATTACATGTAACTGAACACTATAGATACATTTACATCATCTGTGCAGAATAAGAAGATAATATCTGTTGCAATACAAAAGATGCTATGCAATTGCATAGCTGTTACAAATTCCTTTCCCTCTCCTTCAATTTTGAATGTTCTTTTCCAACATACCAATTCAATCTTAAGCAGAGTGACATCAATGAGGATGGTAAATTTCTGGACTGCAGCCAGTCCTTTCAACAGTGCAATCACCCATGTTTCCACATGCTGAGCCAGAGGCCAGGACAGCCAGTCAATCATTCTGAAAGATTAATGAAAAATAAAAAAATAAAACAAAAAACCCAATATGCCACTAATTTTAATCTCAACAAAAAGATTCTCTATATTACCCAGATAGTTACACAGGGACTCACAAGAAGCAATGCAAGAATGTTAGGCAAGTAGTGAAATAATTTTATCTTGTCATTTAACTCTGTAATTAACAGTGATCTATTTAATACATTAGAAGTAAATACAACCCGCCCTGAAATACATAAGCATATAATATTAAATATTATGTATATTATTGTTACTTGTTATCTAAGAATACAAACCCTAGGTTTACAGACATTAAGCTAACACTTCTATTTTGTGGCAAAAACTTACTACTGAAGGTGAAAAAGTGCCTGTACCTGGGAACCTCCCCTCCTACACCTTTCACCCCAAACCAGACCAAAACCAACTATTAAGCTGAAATCTGAAAAGAAAGCCTCTTAAACTTAGAACTACATTCCTGGAAGCCAACTCAAATACTCTCAGTTAAAAAGGTAAAATCTAGTAACTTTAAATACATTGCAGCAGGTGTTAGAAGGATCTTAAAATAGCTATCAGCAGCTTGGGGTCTACATGTGCCCCAAAAGGAAGAACTTCACTACAGCCAAGAAAAAGGAAAAGTGAAGGTACTTAAACTGTGCCTAGAAAATACAGTGAAATTCAGCAACAGAAAATAGGTGTATTCTATCCTTCCAAATTAATAGACAACTTACACTGCTACGTAAGGCAGACAAGGCAAATTAGTTGAAACAACTCTAAGACACAGACAATATTGTAAGGCAGTACCAGCTAAACCATGAAATTTAGTCTTTGTTCTTCTGAGATTTCACTTGAGAATATTTTGGATTTTCTTTAAGTGCCTGCAAGATCCCCTTCTTCAAACTGATGAGGCACCACTAAGTGGAAGTAAAAGTTTTTCACCATGAGAGTGGCCAGACATTGAAACAAGTTACACAGTAAGGCCAAGGCGACTCCGTCCTTGCAGAAAGCTCTGAACTTGATAGGACAAGGCCCTGAGCAACAATGTCTGACTTTGAAGCTGGCCCTGCTTCAAGCAGGATTGGACCAGGTGACTTCTAAAGGGCCCCACTCAATCTACATAACACCATGATTCTATTCTATAGTTCAATGAAAGGAGGAAGTTAGAGGTGTTTTTCTTCTTTTCTGAAAAAGCTCCTCATAAAGATTAATTATTTTAGGAGGCTAAATTCTAGCACAGAACTGAACAGTAACCAGTCTAATAAACAGTCACTATCACTACTGATAGGCATAGTCAGTGTTTATCAATCTGAAGCAAAACTATCAGCCCCTGCGCTCTTTCTGGAGATTAAAAGAGCTCCAAACAGACTGAAATCAGGGTTTTGGTCCTCAGATTCCAAACTAAAAAGAAAACCACAGTCTTCAGCAACACCAGACATGCATTCTGGGCACACTGTATTACCATAAACAACCTAAAATTTACATAGAGTTTATAATCTGGATCTGAAAAATGTATAGTATGCACATTCTAAAATTCATGCATCTTAGAATCATGTACTATCTGCATGTAAGACATTCAAAGGTTTCCCTAAAATAAGGAATCATTAGGACTGCCTTTTTAACAATCCAGCACAGATCTTACTAGGTTTCTTCCATGTCACTACAAAAAAAACCTTGGGAAAAAACACGGCAACATCATAATCATTGTCTCTGAATTTACACACAGCTCTCATTTCCTCAAGATATTAAATTCAAACATGTTTATTCTGAGCACCCTCTCCATATACTTTCTAAAATGGGGAATCAAAAAAGTAGGCCAAAACTGCTTCTGCCTACAAAGAATTAACCTTAATGTAAAAACAGATCCGAAACCTCATAGTCCTATTGTCTTCAACCCCTTCCCCCCCTAATTTGTAGGCTTGGTATTCTTCAGCAGTGGCACAAACACCTGCACAGTTAATTCAACCCTAATGACAATATATTTGGTTTTCTTAATTAACTTTTTAGACAAGTAAAGTGTATTCTGTAGACCCCTACATTAGAACCACTGTTCTAAAATACCTGATTACTATCTTTATACTATGTGCACTTTTAACCACACTGACTCACAAACTCCAAATGAAAAACAGGGCTTTTGGGTGGGAGCTGGGGCTCCCCATGTTCCATCCCATTGCTCTGGTTATGTGATGGGCCATCATATGTCATTTCTAGTCAGTATAACTAAGTACTAAACTATTCAACATTGTTACTAATAGGACAACAACTATCATTTCAGTATGATTAGCCTTGTAAAGAGAAGCCTCATTCTCTGTATAATTGATACAGATAGAATTCCCATCCTTAAAATCTGTTTCTGCTCTTAAAAGCAGAGTCAATGCTCTTAAGAACAGAAACAAAAGCCAGAAGATGAAACAGAAGTAAGCTTGCAGACATGTTTGAGACTGTCCTAAAAAACATCAAATCTGAGATCTGGTAGGTGAAGAGTAGATATTTTGATTACTAAATCCTCTCTGCATTGCATTTACTTGGCTCCTGTTCTGCTGCAACCAATGACTGCATTTTTAATACAAAGGCAGATATTAATATGGGACATGATGATCATGAATAAAAACACAGGGGATGTTTTTTCTGTTTGACCAGATTAAGAGAACCTTAAAGGCCTCAAGAGGACCTTCTGCCTCATATCACCCTAAAATGAGTAGGTCTGCTATCCATCTATGTGCCTAACAAGGACAGTATTTCTGAGATCTCTGGAGAGAAAAAAATTAATCTGTGCAACCTCAGACAGTAACTTCTTGCACAAAAATATCTTCTTAGCCACATCAGACAAAGAATCTGGCAGCTCAGGTGCAAATCCCTCAGATTAGAAAAAAAAACCAAAACAACAACAGAAGATCCTCAGACTACCAGGCACCGCCCCCAAAAAATTAACAACTTTTACAATATTTTACATTTTTTGCAACAGGGCAAAGGACCGGGTCATGTCTGGAGTTTTTCTTAGCAAAATTTTCAGTTTCTCTTAACAAAGATACTTGGGTTAAAGCGCAAACAAGCATACTTGTCAGGATACCGAGTATAGGCAGTCAACTTCCTCTGAGACCTCTGAAATAGACCTTAAAGTAGTCATATATCCCAGAAGAGATTCAACAATTTTCTGCTTTTCCTCAGTGATGCTTCAGGTAAGGCTTCATGAGACAGCCAAGCCAATTAAGAACAGCTCAATCATGCCAAAAAGCAAGTACTCTTTCTTATATGATGAACATGTGCCTAATATAACCCCCCACCGAACAGATTCAATGTATTAATCTTCTAATTACTGATTATTTACTAATCTGTGCTCATCTTTAGACAGTCTCTGCAGTGTCATGAGTTATCCTTAGGAAGTGAGCAACAAAGTCTGTAATTTGCAGTCACCAAAGGTCTGCTGACTCTCATCAGGAGACCTTGTTGTGCCTGGAGTTCTGAATCTCCTGGGAATGATGCAAGCCTGATGACAACATTGTCATTTGGTGCTCCAGACATTCCAGCTGCATTATCCTTCAAGCCAGAAGAGAGTAATTACTGCAAAGGGTTGCTAGAGGTAGAAAAAGAAACTGGATACAGTGTTGACATGAGAGTATCCACAAACAAAAATAACAAGGGGTACCTAGAAAGTTAGTTCCATGGAACAGAACTAGAGGCTCTTAAAATCAAGTATTACTTCAAAGAACGAACAAGGCAAGTAAGATCGCACTGCCCTTTCAAAAACAAGAGGGGAAAAAACCAACACACGGCTAGTATTAAGAAAGAGCACTTATTTGACAATAACAGCTCCTATTACATCCAAAGCTCAGCACTGCATTACTTCCCTAAGCAGAGGCATACAGACAAGCCATTTTAAAGCCACAATTATACAATCAAATTGTGTTGAAGCCAGTAATACAACATAAATGTTAAAATTACACTAACATGAAAATTAATCACCAGCACATTATTATAAGCATGGCAAATAAGTAACATGCACAAATCCTTCTGAATGTCCCAGCTCTGAATTTTAGACTGGGCTTGCAGCTTTGTTAAAATCTGTTCAGTCGAGCAGATTCTTTTGAAGTCCCTAAACAATATGTCTTACCCCAAATTACAATATTAATGCTGCTTCTTCTCATTAATTATGTTTTCAAATGAAATATGGCTTCTCAATTTAATGTAAATACGAGGAATGTTTTCAGTGTGAAAAAACCTTAGTATTTCACCAAGATATGCAAGTGCTACACTACATGAATGTGTAAGTATTACACTACACTCAAATGGATGTAGTTAATAATATAGCAGACATTAAATTCTTTTAGTTGAAAGACTTTTTAGAAGTAATTTTTTAAAAACAATACAAATTTCTAACAGCCTCCTGTTTAACTGCTTTACTCATTTTTCTACCCTTCAGTGCTCAACAACAGCTTCTTCCACAGGCTTTAAAAAAACATAATTCAAAGAACTTCAAGGTCTTCATCTTTCTCCCATTGTCATCTTTCTGCATCACTATTATTCACATATCTGAAGACACTAACCAAGACTGCAATCTGAATCACTGTCTGTTAGCAGTACTATTAATCTCAATGTTTACTCATGTTTAGATGACCGACAAGCATAACATGCAATTGTTTTTACATTTTGCCTATTCTTCTATAATTCAAAGAACATCCAAAAAACCTCTGGAGGCTTGAGTGAAGATGGAAAGAGAGGCCGTCCACTGTGAATCCTACTAAAGAGTCATTAAGATAGCCAAGCAGAAAAAAACCTCAAAACTAAGCAGCAAAACTCATTTCTAACCATTGCCTCTCTTCAGAGGAGGAGATGATAGGTAAGACAATTATCTGAGAGTGCCACTCTGCTTCTTGGAACAGCAGAAAGGTTGATCTTCTAAAAACAAGGCCTTGTTTCTCAGCTTGACTGTAAACCCTGTGGTTTCCTATTTATGCCATCTCCTATAAGGTGGGAGATCTGAACATAAGATGTCATCTAAAAGGAACACAGC